AGGGATAGAAGTGGAAATACAGGCCTAATGAGCGCCGAACGTGGCTAACTTTGGAACATCGTCTGCGTATGCGCACTTCGCTACCGGAGTGATTGCACCGCCAATGAAAATTCTGTGAGGGAACATTGTCATAATAAATGTGACGGATGTATCCGTTGTGTTTTTCAGCAATGATTTCTACACTCCCAAGCGCCAAATGGCGAAAAAAAGTCTGGCGCTTTCTGGCGTTTCTCGGCGCTTCTATTTATAATTATATAATATTTTACGCTATAATATTGTGCACTCGAGGTGCACTTAAGGAAAAAAAAGGTGCAAGGGAATGGTCAGAAGTTAAAGTGGCCAGCCCGAACAATCTGGACAACATTCGATGCAGCATAGAAGGCTGATTTCAAATTTGTCTTCCTTATCTTCAGAGCGCCTTTGTAGGCAATGTTATGAGAAGGAAAACAGATTTAGAGTCAGAGTTTCATGCTGCTGCATGTTTGTCCAATACTTACCAGCTAATTACATACCACCTCGTCACGCCGTAAATTTGAAAAATAGATAGTGTTGTGTGAGATGCATTATGAGCTAGAACTTTGCATATTTGAGGAAAGCGTGGTCACACTAACTTTGTCAAAGCTTTTTTTGGAAAATTGCACGTTCCTAAGCCCAAATAACGAGCATGAATTTCACGATGCCGTCCTATATTGCAAGGCACAAGCAGATTTTCCAAAGCTATCTGGTTACCCTCGGGTGCACTTACTTCAAGCATCTCTTTCAAGCGGTATGTTTTGGCAGGTAGTATTCCTGTTCGATGTGGCTAAACCATGCGTAAGATCAGTTTTCAGCTACTTGCGCCCCCACCCTCCCCGTGCTTGCGCTGGTGTAGCAGAATTGACAAAAAGGCAAGACCAAAGAAATTAGTAACCCGAAAAAAAAAGCACAGGATGGTAAATTCTTCGAGTACTATTGACCGATTATCTCAAAGCGATTGTTGTTATGATTATTATAACGTATACATAAAATTTTGAATATGCAGGGTCGCTAGGACAGTAGAAAAAGAAGAAGAAAGCAGACTGAGGAGTAGTAGCGAACTTCAAACTTGAAGTTCGCACAGCTGGATACGGTGAACTACAGCGGAGTAACGATTTACAAATTGAAGAAAAAGCCACAAAAGATATGCAGAACAACAAAGGCACTGGGAACTTGCGATTTTTGGAAAGAATAGTAGCAGCGAAGTAATACTGCTAAAAACGAAAAAAATTGAAAACAAAAAACCGTGTTAACCAATAAGAAAAGTTCCTGTACTCATCCATAAGAATCCAGAAGCAAAAGAAATTTGAGTGTAGGACAATTACAATTCACAACTCGTTTGAAAAAATCCATTTTTGACATAGTTTTTTGAGTGACTTGCTTTGGCTATTAGCAGTTTTGGAGGCAACATGCGATAAAAGAGAAGACTCAGAAGTCTTGCATAAAACATATCCTTGTCTATGGTAATGGAGATCAAACATTACAAGTCTACAGCTTAGTGGCCCAAATGTTAAAATGCTGGTGTGTTGATTATTCTCCTTGCGCAACATTCAGGGACGGAAAGAAAATTAGCCACGCTTCTCTTGACAGCTTAGCGACTTCATTCTCAACTTATGACATTTCTCTGTAATCAGAAAATGCATTGTAGGGGTTCCTGAAATTGAGAAATTAGCATACTTGTAAGAATTTTGAAGTTTTCAGCTTTCATGAAGCTTTTTTCAAAAGTTGGATTCCTTACCCAAGTTCAATAATGGTAAAAATTACTTAGGCCTTATAAAGTCTAACCAAATGGCTTGGCTTTTTGGTTGAACTACTCGGAAAATAAATAGTTTGGAGTAAGCTTACTGCGTAGTTGATATGATCAGCAGAGTTTGGAGAATCTATCAAAGCCCTCAGGTTTTCAGCTAATAGACTCGCCATTAGTTCGAGTTAAGGCGTACTTCATAGGGGTAGAGGATGTATTCTCAGATGTCAATAAGAGCATTTCCAGGTTACAGAATACTTCCAGATATTTGACCTCAATGAAATATTGAACTCAACCATTGCATATCGCAATGTCTTCCATCCAAAAAGAATGCAATAACTAAGTAGTTAAATTTTTAAATTAGGTAACTTCTTCCAGAGAATCGTTCAGCAGACAAGGGATGCGGATTCCGGTGTTGTACATTTCTTTGAAAAATTGCTGGTGCGACTTGATAATCTTCCTCTACCACGTGCAGAAAATCAGGTCCTAGTTTGAAAATTCTCGAAAATTCGTGAAATGCGTATGCATGCATGCATGAGGCTGCGTTCATACTGATCCGGAAGTTCGTGAACAGTTTCAGCACAACGTTCAAACTGAGCACTGTGCTGAAACTATTTCCGGACTTCGGTATCAGTATGAACGCAGCCTAAGCAACAACTTGAAATCTGGCAAATAGACTGTTTTTTGAGAGCCACTTCCAGCTTGATACAATAAGAAAACTAGTCAGCATAGAATTTTTGAAAAAACGTACTTATATATGTTATGCTCACTTTTTGAAAGTTGTTGAAAAGTTGTTTATTTTTTACTGCTGCCACATTTGACTCAACAATTATGTTTTCTTTGGAGAAAAAGCATTTCAGAATTTGAGGTTACCTGAAATCTTGGAATGATTAGAGGAATCTGACAGAAACAACTAAGGTCATCCTGGAAAATATTGAAGAAACAAAGGAGAAACAAATCAATATTAGAAAAGAAACAAAGAAGGATTCCGTGATAATGTACGGATTTAAGAGTTTTTGGGCTTTATAGCCTTTCCGATTTAATTTAGAGATGTAAAAAAAGTTGCATTGTTTGGCACAGAAACGAACTCCTAGAGTTGGAATATTGTGATAGATTTATGATAGAAACTTTCCAAAGGTACTGGGCAGTTTTAATCTCAGATTGGTAGGGTTCACGCGTTTACAGTCACGTCATCTAGAAATGAAAAATTGAAGGCTTTCAGGAAGTTATGAACTCACTCACTTGATATAGAAGTATTGAATAATTGTTATATATTAGGCCGGTCCGAAAGTTCGTGCCGTTTTTAAGCCCCATGCTCAAACCCAGAATAAAGATAGAAAAAAGCTGTAAGCACTATCCGATGGAGGATTTTTTCTTCTCTCTAACGGTTATGTTACTGTTCAGATTCCTTCAATGTCCGCTCAACAATCTACAGTGATCTCCAACCCGTGATTTTTACCCATCTTGAGCTTGGCTATTTTTTAAAGTTTCGGTCTTTAACTTTTGGACTAATTTCGATCACAATTGAATGGAACAAACAAAATGCAGTACAATGAACTATTTTGGATTCATCAACTAACTTTTCAGTATTTCTCAAAATAATTTTTCCAAAAGCCCTTAATTTTGCGAAGTGGTGAATTACATAATCGCTTCAAACACTGACAAATCTTCGGAATTTGAGGCGTTTGAAAATAATTTATTACTCAACGCTAGTTTTATAAGCAACTGAGGGTTTAGCGGTTCAAAATATTGGAGTCCGAACTTCCTGAGTACAGCTTAGGAAGAGTCTGGAAACAAGAATCATAATGATTTTGTCCTCATATTTATACAAATCAGGAAGAAAAAAGTCCATTAGCAAAAGGTGGAAAAGCTGCATCCAGTAACACCCTGATTGCTCGTCATTTATTATTCTGTGAGAATTGAAATGCCCAAATGTAAAATTTAATAGCATCAGAAAAATGTTTTCAAAAATCTTGAGGAGCCGGCTAGAAATGCCGAAAAATGTATTGTATTGCATTTTGTTAGTTCTATTCATCGGTTATCAAAGCTAGTTCAAATGTTGAAAATGAAAATTTAAAAAAATATTTTCAAAAAACAGCCAAAGTCAAGATGAATGAAAATCATGGTTTGGAATGTTGGAGCTCCCTGACGATTATTGAGCAGACTTCAAGAGAATTTGAACAAAAACATAACCGCTAAAAAGAGGAAGAAATTTTGCATCGGATAGTGCCTACAGCTTTTGTATATCTTCATATTAGGTGGTTTGAGCATGGGTCTGAAAAACGGCACGGACTTTCGACCGAACTAATATTTATCAAATCTAATCAGCTTGAGAACAGGCATTAGCATGAGAAATTCCTGCTGAGAAATCCAGGCGTAAGAGATGCAGAAAAATGCTGTTCTACTCTCGTTTCAGAAAAAAATGGTTACTGTTTGCAAATTGTGTGCAATAACGAGTTAATTGCGAACGTTGAATCTCTTAAGCTGTATACAAATTTTGCATAAACCATTCAGACGCTAGGTTCTGTTATTTTATGAGTTGACCTATTCTGCTTCTGTTTCTTGCCTCATTATCTTATATATAAAGATGAATGTCTGTTTGTCTGTATGTATGTATGTCTGTCTGTCTGTAAGGTTCCGAATAGAAAATTCCATTTCTGAACCGATTCGGACAAACTTCGCACACATACACTTCGGGGCGGGGTAAGTGTCGTGGGCTAACTTTTCGTAATCGATCGGTATCGATTTTATCGATTTTTATCGATTTTTTTGTAGAGTCCATCTAGGGGCTGGGAGTTGGCACGGAGGGGTAAATGAGCATGGCGATTCCGAATATTATATTAGTTTTCAGAATTATCCATTACTTTTATCGATTTTATCAATTTTTTTGCAAAGTTCGAGTTACGGGGCTGGGATTTGGCACGGGGGGGGGGGGTAATCGAGCATGCTGATTACGATACAATATTAGTTTTTGAAATCGTCTATTACTTTTATCAATTTTATCGATTTTTCAAAATTTGAGAAGGGCTGGGAGTTGGCACAGAGGGTAAGTGGGCATGCTGATTTCGAAAACAATACAGGGAACGGGAAATGAAATTTAGGAGTGGTCACAGGGAAAGGCTGTACAGAGATAGGGATGGGACCTTTATTACAGTGTTTTTGACAGGGCCAGGCGGAGCCGGATAAGCCAGCTAGTTTACTACAGATCGTTTACGACATTTATTCCAGCTTGGCATTTCAGCAATGTACTCCGCAAAAATGAGTCACAAAGTGATATGTGGTTGTAGTGCTATTTTCGCTTACCTGTTCGTTTCGTTGTTCTTCCGCATGTATCCCACAACCCTCGCATCAGTGGAGAATTTCGCAGTGAGTAAACATCTGATCCCTTTCCATTTAGCAAAGTTAATAAAGATAGAAGTTCAAAATTACCATCTTAAACTTTTCAGGATGGCGTCAATCACAACGATTGTGCATGCCGGCATGAGAATGTGGTTTACGACTTCTGCTATCGCCTTCCCACAAACTTAAGCATCAAAGGTCGACGCTTTGATTGCAAATACATTGCACTTCTTCAAAACCTAAGTAAGCCATTGTACCGATACTGATGTAGTTACCTGAATGCTCGCGCGTTTTTTGGGCAATCCACAAATTTGAAGAGCAAAGTAGGCGGACGCTTCAAATAGTACCCGATGCAGAGTTTCTTTTCTTTCTACTGGCTGTGCTTTCCATTATCCTTTTATTAGGCACTCGCAGGTACTTAACACCATGTTCAGCCAATTTTTCCAAAATCTTCATTCCAAACTTTTAGGTTCTTTTATACGACTAAAAAATGAGAAATGAGAAAAAATGAGAAATCTTTTGCACGTTGATACTTTTTTCGCAGCTAACTTTTGATGTTTCTACAATTTGTTTGGAGCGATCGAACTTTAGATTCGGTCTATGTAGACCATCAAAAAACAAGTGACTTGCATAATCATTAGAACGATGTTCTTTTCTCTCTGTATGCTGCTTTTCTTCACAATCCCTGCAGACTCTCCACAAAATATCGCCGAGTTTTATGGAGTGCATGCTGTCTTGCTGAAAATTCAAAAATATTTACCTTCTAGAGCGGCAACCGCTTACCTCACCTTCCCGGAACTCAGAGTAAGAAATATGAATTGGTACGTATAAATTTTGAAGTTTTATAGGTAATCGATGGACTTTTGCATCATAATTATTCAGATGCAAATATTTAACAAATCATCTTAAATCAATAAATAAACATTTTGGTTCTCAAGTTTTACCTGGAAAAGATATTGAATTACACCGGCGTTTGAATAAGAGAAGCAGACTGCACAATAAGTTTAGAAGTGGTTTCAAAACTCTTTTTGGAGATTTCCTCGGGAGAACACTTTGGTATGAAGAAACGTCAAGAAAGGCTGAGTGTTCAAACTTGTAGTTGAGCAGCTTCGACATCAAAGCTACTTGCAATGAGCTCAATTTTTGACTGCTGAAGTTCTGCAACATTGGCCCGTAGTAAACCCTTCTTTAGCGCAATGCAGCCGGGGGTGGGTCTACGTAACGCCTTAGTCCGGCGTTTAGTGAGCTATAGATCAGTACGCGGATTGCTTTCTAGGCCTAAAGATCTTGTGCGTTCTTGAAAAGGTTAGATTTGAGCACGATTAATCAAATGACTAAATGATTAGGATTCAACGCAGGAGCCCACGATCGAGGCCGGTTAGTAGTGAACTTTAGGGCACCGCCGGGCAATTTCTGATAGCGGCTGCCATAAAAAAAGATGAACCGCTACCAAAAATTTCAAGTAGCAAAAAGAGATAAACTTATTTCACGATATTTCAGCATGTATACCGGTAAAGAAGCACTGAATAGAAAGATAAACCACTCTTTCCATCAATAGCAGAATTTGTGAAAATCAAGCACTCTGCACGGAAACGCGAAATTTTTCTCCTATTTTCTTGCAGTTTTTGAATAGAGGAGAATGTGTGCCCCTGCAGAAGCGACAACGCTTATGCGTCCACAATTTCATTTCGAGTTTCCGCGAGTGTTTTCAGGCGTTTTTTTGCTTATTGCTTTCTAAGTGGCGTTGTCGATAAAGGAGAAAAGGTAAGTTAGAGAATAGCCCCTATTTTATGAGTAGCTTTACGCTTATTTCCAAGTATCCACTTAGAAGCTACGTCGCGGGGCTTTCACTTTTCACCTTTGAGTTATTGTCTTCATCACACAACTTCTCGATTAAATGCTATTTTTTTTTAGGTAGAAATCAAGGTTGCTGCAGCGCACTTATTAACATTCAAATAAATGCTTTACGAGAAGAAAGAGGCAAGAGGAGACGAAAGAGAAGGAAATGACAGATTCTACACGAAACTGCAACGTGCTTCCAGGTGTATATACCTGACACGAAGCGATGATACAACCACTAAAAAACGAAAACTAATTTCTAACTTACCTTTTCCTCTTCACCAATCACGACCTAATCAAAAAGCAAGGAATAGACGAAGAAAGCGCTAGAAAAACACTCCCTCGTAAACTTGCTATGCTTGTTGACGCACAAGCGCTGTCGCGCCTAGGGACACTATATTAAGCAAAAAATCTACTCGATATACTCTCTTGTCGCTCCATATATCAGGCTGTTTCCTCGATGAGTGATTGGAAAACCGTTCACAGTTCTTTCAAAAAAGGCCGCAGTAGGTAGAGTATGGTTTTTCAGACCAGCGCTTAGAACCAGAGGTACGATAGTGGGAGCCGATTCTCCCCCTACCTTCACTTTTGAGCTGGTACAGGGTGACCATCTTCACTTTTGGAATAGAAAATTTTTCGCTGGACGATAAAGAAAGAAAATAAGCAAAACAAACGCAAAAAAATAAAAGCATATACTTATGTATACGGCGGCATATATATTTAAAATAAACGTGTTCAGTAAATGGTGTATTTGGAAGTAAAACTTAGCGAAAATGTACGGATCTTATTATGCAAATTTTGTCATAACATACTGCGAAGAAAGTAGATCGATCCAGGCAGTAACGGCCGAGAACCAGAATTTCGAATAATTAAATGGTGAAAAATCATGCAAAATTTCCACTGTTATAAATCTGTTGTTTGAAAATGTCAGCAGTTGCGATCTCATAGGTTTTAGAGAGTAAATGGGTCTCTATCAGCTAGTGAAAAAATCGAGTGGATTTGAAAGATAGTCATTGAAAACCAGATTTCTAAAGATTTACGCCATTTTTGCGTGTTTTTTGACAGACAGTTAAACTCATATAAATCTTGAATGTGAAAGTGTGTGATGTTGCGACTTCATAGGCTTAATAGATTAAGGTTTGCCTTATCAGGATATATTTTAGCCGTACCGACTCACTGAAACAGTGCCGAGATCCAGAGTCTTGAAAAAAGCAGGTAAAAAAGCGCTTTTTGAATTTCAACAGCTCATAACTTCTTCAGAACTGCATGAATCATGTTGCGACTAAACCCCCACATATTATAAATCATCTGAAAGCTCTTGATGACAGTTCTGAAGAAGTTATGAGCTGTTGAAATTCAAAAAGCGCTTTTTTACCTGCTCTTTCAAGACTCTGGGGCCGGTAGTAATCCCCCCGACCTGGCGGCAGGTCTTGTTGGCAGGTCGCTGGCACCTTTTCCGTGAGGTGGCCAGAAACTAAAACCCCAAATTTAGGCCGTCCCAGGCCTTTTTCCAAAAAATTTCTAGACGAAGATGCCGCCTCGACTCTGTAGAAAGCTCTATAGAAATCTACGATTCTAGAAATCCTCCTGTAGGAAAATATTTGGAAGCGCAGACGGAGCTGCCGGCAACTTCGCGATGTCAGTTGCCGGTAACCTGCCGGCAGCTTGTCGAAATCCGCGAGATGGCAGCTGCCGGCAGGTCAGAGAGCACGGAAAATAGCGTGCTCTTTTGAGAGAGGGAGCTGCCGGCATCTCGACGTGCCCCTACCACGTCGAGGTGGTGGCACCTTTGCCGACTGCGTCTGCGAGTCTGCGATGCGGCGATATCACACAATTTACGTCAGGCGAAAAAATCAAAAAACTCTGCTTTTTTCAAAAAACTACCATTTTCCTCATTATATGAGTTCTTCTTTTTTAAAACGACGATTTTCTTACAGAGAAAAAATCTAGTCATGCCTTAGAACCATAAAGAACACCATCTTTTTAGGCAATCCCTTCTAAATCTCGTTTGCACCGATTTCGCCCCTCTCTTGCTCATATCAATCAGCTGTTCTTTCAGGTCAAAGTCTCTCATGCAATGTATTGATCCCTCTTACAGGCGGCCACTTACCGGTGCATTCCTCCTATAGCTGGTGCAATCAGTAATGGTTGTCCCAATGGTCGAATGGTTAACGGGTCGGCATTTAAAGTTAACGTACTTAGGTTCGGCCGCGCGCGAGGTAGCAGTTTTGTGGCTGTGTGCGTCATGGAAATTTGATGTGCGAAATGATTGCGCGCTAAGGTTACAGAACATATTAAAACCTACAATCACTCCACGAGCTGCCGCCGATGATGGCAACTTCCCCGCGATGTGTGCCTACCTGCCGGCATCTTTGATGCCACCAGGTACGGTAGATTACTACGGGCCTGGATCTCGGCACTTTTTCAGTGAATCGGTACGGCTAAGATATATCCTGATAAGGCAAACCTTACCCTTATAAAACCTATGAAGTCGCAACATCACACACTTTCACATTCAAGATTTATATGAGTTTAGCTGTCAGCTGTCAAAAAACACGCAAAATTGGCGTAAATTTTTAGAATTCTGGTTTCAGAGACTATCTCTCAAATCGACTCGATTCCTTCACTATCTGATAAAGCACCATTTACTTTTTAAAACCTATAAAGTTGCAACTGCTGACATCTTCATAAAACAGATTTATAACAGTGGAAATTTCGCATGATTTTTCACTATTTAAATATTCAAAATTTTGGTTCTAGGCCGTTAATGCCTAGATCGACCTAATTCCTTCGCAGTATGTTATGACAAAATTTACTTAATAAAATCCGTACAGTCCAACAAACCTTTACTTCCAAATACACCATTTACTAAACACGTCTATTTAAATTTTTATAGATAAAATTTATAAATATTTTTGATATTCATCGTATCTGTGGCCCTAAAGAAGGCCGTTGGGTCACAGTTTGACCTAGAAAGATAGCTCTGTTCGTCCGTTCTACCCCCGACACTACCACCTTCACTTCTGGCCGGCCAGTGGTAGCTGGAACCACCTTCACTTTTGGTGTGCCCGGCTCCTTCCATCGCACCTCTGCTTAGAACCTGCCGTACAACATACATTGTTCCTCAAAACTCCAGTGCGATGTAATGCTCTTCACTCAAAAATTCATTTATAGAAAGATTATAAGCTCGCCTTTTCAGGATAACAAGCGCTGTATTCAAAGATTTGCATCAAAGAAGATACTTATCTGCAAAAAACGTCTTTACTTCCAAGTTCTACTTGTTGAAATTTGAAAATCTAAGTGAACGAGTCTGCTATTATTAAATTAAAAATAAAGGTCTTTTAGAGCTTCTATCAAACCAAAGCACCGTCGACTTTCAAAACCATTACATGCCTGCCCCCAGGTTCGTGACGGCAATGTCAGAAAATCACTACAAAGAAGGTCTCACATTGGTGAGTCTGCTCAAAGTATTTTTGCTTGTTCGTATACAGTGACGCCATGAAGTTGCGCACAAGCTGCCTTTCTCTTTTCGTCGTTCATCTCGGATGAAAAAAGATGAAAAAATTATTGAAATGCATAAGATGATAGAGCTTTCAGGAGCTACAACTGACACAATGCGCTCTCTGGAAAACGTAATTTCTGAAAAAATCAAAAATCTTTTTTTAAAAAGTCCGAAAATGGCCGTGTCATAATGTTGTGGACAATAATTCTTTAGACGCGGAAAATCTCTTTTGGGTCTTTTTTGGAGTAAAAACAAGTTTTCCACATGTAGACATGCAATATTGTAGAGCTCATCGAGGACAATAATCAGGTAGTGGTAACTTCCAAAAAAAAAACAAGTTTGAATTTTATTTTTGTCTTCAAAAACTAACTTCTATTTATCTTTTTCAAGCCAATTGTCCATATGGAAACTCATTAAAGAGATTCCAACAAAGCTGTTTGAATAAATTGGATGCTTTTTGCTTTTGCATCGAGCTTGTGCTGATGAGTTCCTTTGCTAGAAATGGCTATTGACAGTGCGCGAAAATGAACCCACCTGCATCTCAGCACTGATTTGCACCGCTTTGCATTCTTGTAGCTCGGCCGGCAGTCACTCTACGAGCCTATATGCAAGCTATTCAAAAGAGCATGACCGCCCAGACACGGTGGTATGCAAAAAAGTCGAGTTTGAGAAATCTAAGAGATCTTATAGCGTGAAAAAAAACCCAGCTTTAGAGCTAATTGGAGTGCAGGCTCTTATCAACACAGAGCAATCATAGAGCTTCGAAATGGATTTATAACAAAAAATTGACAGTTTTGAACTCCCAAGATGGACTAGCGAAAAGAGCTCTGTTCAACTTTAGCTGGAAAGTTAGTAGTTTCCAAGTCTCCTCTCTTCTTAACCTCGGCATTGTTAGTTAGTATGTTGTGAGTAGAAAAAGAAGGAAAAAAAAGAAAAAAAAGAAGCACTCTCGCTTTGTCAAAAATTTAGCTGGAAAATTTTTAGCCTACCACTAAAACTGCACTCTTTCACCACATCCGTAAGATCTCCAGAATATCAAACTCATTTCCATAACATAGTGTCGAGGAGGTCACGCTCTTTTAATTGAGCCTACATATTGACTCGTAGACATATTGACTCGTAGAGTGACTGCCGCCAAGCTACAAGCCTACAAAGCGGTGCAAGTCAGTGGGATGCAGGTGGTTCAAGTGCACGCACTGTCGACAGCCATTTTCGGAATAGAAACACACCAGCACACGTCCGATGCATAGAAGATGGCAATCCAATTTATTCGAACAGTTTTGTTGGGATGTCTTGAATAGGCTTCCATGTGAAGCAATTTGGCTTGAGAAAGGTAATTAAAAGTTTTTTTTAAAAGCAAAATAAAAATCGAGCTTCGGTTTTTTTGGGAGGAACCACTACCTGATTATTGTCCTCGATGAGCTCTATAATATAGTATGTTTTAGAGAAATTTCTGTTTTTGCTCCAAACAAAGACCTAAAGAAAAATTATCGCGTTCGAAGAATTGTTTTTCGGAACATTGTGATATGCCCTGGGTGGGACTTCTTCCAAAAAAAAAGCTTTTCATTTTTATCTAGAATTCATTTTTTTCCAGACAACGTAATGTGTGTTGTAATTCTTGAAAAGGTCTATTATTAAATAATCCGATCATTTTTTCATAATTTATTTTCATAAAGGAACGATGAAAAAAGAAGAACGACTTGTCCGAAACTACGGCGGACTGTATGTCAAAGAGCGTTGTTCGTTGGATACAACTCCTTTTCGGCCAAACCGAATACCACTTGCACACATTATGGATAAAACAGTTTGAGTCTCAACTGATTAAGATGTGGTTGCTGATGCTTGGACTATGCGAAGTGCGTGCTAATACACTTTTCGTTACGTTTTCTGAACATTTTCAGGCAATATAGACAGGCTCTTTGTTGCTAGCACAATTTTAAAAAAACAGTGCGAGAATACAATTCAGCCGCAAGCTGAATGAGTTCAACTGAGTGGAACGAGCAAACTCAAAATAGATCGCGCAATTTTTGATGGCTTCTGCTTTTTACAAGAATAATCAAAGATTTTACGAAAAAGAGCTACAATAAATTCAAAGTCTGCGACGTACAACGTGGCGAGATGAGGTGCTAAATTGTTTGCCTTTAGTCATTCGCAAAACCACACAAAACAATTAACAATGGATTTCATTACAATCAATAATCTTGCAACATAATGACGCAACGACATCTTCAGTTAGTAGCACATAAGCAAACATTTATATTCTTGTGCTAAAAACATTTCTTGACTCAAGAGCATAGCAAATGAAATGTAGAGTGTTTTGTGCTTATAGATATCATATTACCTATCATATGTAATATCGCGTTACTATCACCGAAGGACGGCACTATTTGTAAAACACGAGAGTCTTTCAAAACAGTGTAATCCTCTTACATATCGGGAGAGCTTTGGAAGAAGCAAGCAAGCTCGTGAAATCCTGCAAAAAGCATACAACTGCTTTCTTAGCATGGTGCTAGCGGTGATGATGCTCACGAGGAAAACACGTTTAGTCGAAGTGGCTTTTCAAATGGGATGCGTACCACATTAAAAAGCATAAAACGCTTGTTCCAATCTGCCTTCCATATCTGCGGAATATATACGAACGAGAAGTTATAAGCTTTAATGGAGCAAAGAAGATGTACAAGTAAGACAACAATTGCAATATTTTTTAGCGCTTTCACGCTTTCGCTTTTCGCAGGTATGGAAGGCAGGTATTTAGCGATTTGAGGTCCTTTCAAGCTACGCTCAGCACTCAGCCGCAGCACGCCGCGTCTTGCGGCGTGCGTCGCTGCAGTCGCAGTGAAAATATACGCTTACGGCAGCACAGCTCTGCCGGTTATGGATGCATCTCTATATTTGCTCTTGTTCGTGTTCTCCGAGAGTGTTCCTTCACAGCGAGCGAGTTTATATTTTCAAAGTGACTGCAGCGGCGCACGGCTGCTGCGTCCTGCGGCATGGCTTGGTTACTAACAGAACTGCTGAAGCATATATGCACGAGGAACAAGAATCGTGCAAAAGAGGAGAAATTAAAGAATTATGTGTTTTTTTCATGCCTGCCCGGCTAACAAGGTGCTGTGAAGTGCCAGCTAACTTCAGAAAAAATTTGGACACAATTTTCATTTACGTCAATTTTTCATGGCTTTTTGGACATCGTTTATCGCTGTCGCACTAAACCACACAAAATTTGCTGCCATATCATTTCTTGTTGATGTAATGTCAAAGCTTCATAACAAGCAATTCGCCTATCCCGAGCACAACTTTGGATTATCGTATACTCCCCGAGGTTACCTTTGACGTACAATGGTCCTTTCACAAAAGCGACGTTTGAGCAAATTTGGCTTGCCCGCTTACGATTCAATGAGTCGTCCCAGACCCGGCAAGAGGTTGCATTTGGGAATCTTGTAAACGAAGTCCCCTTTGAGATTGCGGCAATTTACTAGTAACCCTTTGTGGTTTTTGTAGAAGTATGGATTATAAATTGCGGCGAAATGTGAGTGGATAAAAGTGAAGAAAAAACAAGAAAGTTAATCATAAAACATCAGAATTCAAAAAAAGGGAGGTTTTTTCATCATTAAAGGCCATAGCAAAGCAGAGGGGATGAAATTGAGGTCAAAATGAGTGCACAAGGGTAGAATATTAATTAAAAAAGAGACTTATGTAAAACTATTGGAAAATTATGTGAGGAAGTCGATAAATTATGACATTGTTTGGTCCCGCGCAATCTTAGGGTGCCCTCAGGTTGCGCGGGAGCAACCTAAGTTAGAAAACACAACTCCTTCCCCTCACATATTTTTTGAAATAATTTTTCGTACTTTTGTTTTGACCATCGTCGCAAAGGTATGTACCAAATTTGATGGCTCAATATTGCTTATTCTCAATAAAGAAACTGATTTTTTATTTTTTGTTCATGTCTTAACGCGTTGGCTTCGTGTGCACAAAAAGTTCCTGCAATCCTGTTTGTGACCTGTTAATTTACTGTTACTGGTAAAATGAAGTTAGAACCTAAACCCGGGTTTAAAATAAGGATTGAGCTGGCCAATATTCTGTCAGAAAAAGAAAACACCCTGGAAACGTGATTCCTCTTGCATTCCCTTCAAAAAACGATATCCAGCGTGTGAAAGCGCCACTTCTGCTAAGCTCTGAGTCCCTGTCTTCTTCACCATTCTCAAAATGAAAGCGCTAAGTGCTTGGATCGTTTTTAAGTTTTAGTTATCGTTGTAACAACAGGCCAAGGTTGTTTGCGTTTTTTGTGTGTATGTAGTCTGTCTTTTCGTTATGAAATGTAAAGCGAGTTTTAAAGAATCTTTTGGTCCCAAATTCGCACAACCAGGTTCCTACGCAAGCTTTTTGCAAAGTTATATTTTCGTGCTCAACACGCAAAGTTGAAAAACACGGTTATTAAGTCAAAAAACCACAATGTATTTGCATGCAACGCCGTCAAAAAGTGGCATATGTTCTCTACTCAGTGAAGGAGGAGATTTCAGCTTAGCGACGTAGCCCTCAGACAATCTTCAAATTGCCGATTCCTAGGTAAAAGGTCTAATCGCTATGTAGTGTACGTGTTCTTCATAAGGTTTCCTCCAATCAAAACTGCCGATTTATGGCAAACATTTGAGGATGGCTTCTAGCACTTCAGTAATAATGCTCAGCACCATTCTGTTGATTTTACTTCTATTGTTGACATGCGGAAAGCAGCACTCCCATCACATTTTTGTAATGTGAGTTTGAAAAGTTTTTCCGACCGCCATTGAATGGAAACATATTTATGGTGATATTGCCAGCGCGAGCCTCTCCGAGGCAGAGGTGACGCGCTGGTGCATCAGTGTCTATTAGTCTTACGAGAAAAATGCCGAGTCGCCTGCGCTCAGTGAGAAAAATGTAAGGCCGCTTCGAGACACTAATAACATACCTGCTGTCCAAATCTGCGAAACATTTTGTTGAAGAAGTTACAAACCCTGGGTCTACGATTCACACTTGAATTGAGCACGAGTAATAATGCATTATTGATAGAATTTCTGATAGTGCAGGATAGTAGTTTTTCACTCAAGAAATCGTGTTCAAATCCCGTCGAAATCGTCGCCAAATCGCCTCCATTGCTTTTGCGTTTCTTGCGAATTTTCGTCTTTTCTTCAAAATTTGTCATGAATAGTGACTATCGTAGCTTCAGCAATGATTGCGTTTTGAAACAGATTTCTGCTGCCTGCCGATATGCATAACACTTATTTGTTTGCAGACAGGGCGAAACCTGGGAAATCAAGGGCCGTAGCTTTTCTCAGAAAATCGATGTTATCAGTGTCTCAAAAGGACTACAACAATGTACATCGCCTTGTTAAACACCAGTCTCAGTGCCCACATCTCGCCAAATCACGCTCAAAATTTGCACACGTTCTCGTTTTTAAGAACGTGCTTGTTATCACCTACATACACTAGTTCAGTATTTTAATACGCGTTCGCGTTAAAGGTTCTCAAAGCGCACTTTTCGGAAAATACATGCGATTTGAGCTTAGATTTGATATCAGCGCATTGAAGTATTCAGAAAGTGACATAATTGAAGCCGAGAAGTTTCCCGGATGCTACATTCAAATTGTTTCTGAACCTGCTGAATGTCTGGGAGCGCACATTTAAGCGCTGACGAGTATATACAACATTACTCTGCTTCCTACTATAAAAGCAACCAGCAAGCCCACAGCCGTACTGATCCTTGAGCTCAGCGCTCGTACGTCTAGACCTTTGTACAAAATTGTTAGAGAACCTAAATACGACTTATACAATTCTTTCACGACTCTGTGCAAAGCCATAACAAATTAGAACTTTTTACAGATAGCAAACATCCGCAAATTTTGGAAAACGGAGTGGATTACCGTTTATGATTTAGGCCTTGATAACAAGTCAGCAGCGAATGTGCAAGTAAGTTCGCTGTCACAGTACGCTGTCATCGCCCCCTTTATTCACGAATTTTTCTAAGAGCAAATGCTTTGTGGATTTGCGAAAGTTTCCCTTCGAGTTGTATCCTGACTACGTCGCAAAACTCAAGGAGTACAGATGGAAACCCATTTTGATAGCAGTCGGTTTGGTTTGATGAATTGTTAAAGTTGTGTACGGTTTGCACCAGATGACGTTGAAAGAATTTGGTGCTGTTTGGTACATGGATGCTTCCGTACGATGGTTCAAAGACGACCGAGATGTATTTTACAAAGAAGTTACATGTAGCAGATCGGGACTACTAGAGAGGTCTGATGCAAGGGTTATTTTGCAAGTCTGTTCATTTTTTCCGCTAGACAACAATCACTGAGCCTTGATCGACTTACAGACGAACAATGCAACTTTGCTTTTTCCACTACTTAATATGCAGTAGTAGTTAGTACTTTACTTATACCGATACTCTACTCAAATTTTAGCCCACGTTTTCTTGTCTTTGCTGAACCTAAAAACCACTAAATCGATAAGGAAGTTTTTGTTAGAAGATACCTCGGAAGTTTCCTTTACTGTGGAGGGAAAAAATCTACGCTTTATTTAGTAAGTTAAGGTTGTATTCTAAGCAAAAAGGCATGCTATTTAAAACATCTATCTAATCGAAGTTCATTTGATATTTGCTCAAATACACAACCTTTGCAACCAGCCGCTTTACTTTGTACAAGTTTAACTGATTATCAAAATTTTTCTCCTGCGTTTGAAGTTGTACCAAACCAGAAGATACGCGCAAAGCTTTTTACTTTAACGAGCATTTCAAAAATCCTTAAATATTTGAGAGTGACAAATTTCAAGATCGGTTTAATCCAAAAGCCGTAAAACATCAACGGGTATGCATTTCAAGTCTGTTTGCATTTTTTCTCCTCTTTCTCATATCCCTTTTTCTGCGCTGCATGGAACATTTGAAGAAAGATTGCCTTGATTTCCAAACAAGACCGCAAAGCTACAAGCGGTGGTCGCTGATTCATTTTTTGTGAAATTCTGTCATAGGCCTAAAAGAAAGCTCGGTTAGTTCACTTGATGTGAACGATCGTCCCAAATGAGTTTTGTAAGGTAAACTAACCCATTTCCAATCAGGTACCGCGGTGATCTTTCAGGATAGAGAGGATTGACTGCTGAATGCAGTTAAATAAGCAAAAAATGAGTTTTATTTTTTGCAGGGGCTTGCTTTTTGCTCATTTTTGAAAATCTATGCAAAATATTTTCTTCATTATTTTATATAGTTATGCTCCAAAAAATTTGATTCTTCATGAAAGTTTGAGCTAAAATATCGGAATTCGTCATCCTTCGCTGGGTCCGGATAACGGAAAATGCCCTATTTGCTCTTAATGCGGAGAGGTGCATTTTTTGAAAGTGCACAAGGTGGCGAAAAGTTGAGTAACAAAATGGTTATAAAAAAAGATTTCATCTATTATAGTCGCTGCTATCCTTCTACTCCGTGAAAATGAGCTGTCCGAGAGGCTTCGCAGAAATTGCTGCAGAACTCGAATTAACACATTCGATAGTGGGAAAACAAAGTCAAGTATCAGGTAGGTCCAAACTTAGTGCCGTATTTTGACCATTCCGCAAAGTCTCTGAGAAAAAGATGGCGGATACTGTATGGAGATTTTGATCCAAAAAACGTTTATCATCCCAGGGCTGTACCTTCGAAGTGATTCACGAGATTCAGGTAATCTACACCATTTTCAAGCCATTGTTTCTGCCTTGCCTTACTTTATCTTCAACAATCTTATCTCAGATTACTGAGATAACATCAACGACCAGTAGATAGAGCAAAGCTTTTGCAGTGTAATGCTCTATCCGTATTTTTCTCGTACCAACCTATTAAATTTTCAATGTTGTTATTGGGAAGTTGTTGTAAAAAGTTGCTCATAATAAATGAAAACAAACTTAGAAACCAGTAGAATTTCCGTAGCCTGAGCCGCAGTAAATTTCAGCCAATTCAGGTGATCTGAGCCCTAAGGTAAACTCACGGCGTTTGTCCAGTATCCAGCGAGCTATAAATTTGGATTTTGTAGACGTGATAAACATGGACGTTAGCAAGAAAGAAAAAGCTATACCTTCTATGCAGTTATAGTCAAGAAGGTGAACGCTTGCGATGACCGGGTGCCGTAATTCGAAACCGCTTAACGGAGCCATTTTTGTTGCAAATTTTTGGAGCAGCTCTACCGAAAGGAGGACGACTTCTGATATTTTAGCTCAAACTTTCATGAAGAATCAAATTTTTTGGAGCATAACTAAAGTGCGGTTCATAATTATACGAACACCCAAAATTTTGTAAGTTTTCGGACTTTTTGGGAGAAACTCAAAAAGCCGTTGGTACCACGCGATAGAACACAGCCGAAAACGATATATGATTCATAAGAATGGAAGTCGATGTCAATTGTAGGAGTGTTTTGGCGGCTAGTGCGAATCTTTAGCGGTTCATAATTATACGAACACCTCAAACAAAGGCCCATTTTTCATTCAAGAATGCAATCGTTTGAGTCCAATTTTTTTGAAGAGTTATAGTAACAAAGTCTGACATATTTGCTACACACTGAACCCAGTGCAGTTCAAAACGAGGACCGTTACTTTTTTCAGAAGGCTCTAAATGCTTCTAAAGTGATTGAGCTCCAGAAACATCCGTTCTTCTGTGGTTTTCACGCTCTAATTAGCTTCTACCAAAGCTATGAGATAAAATAAGCTCTTGCGATAAATATTTTGTTTGATGCTTGGAAAATCTTTGCGTTTTCGTGCCGTTTTTCAACCAAGTTCCAACCTTAGCACAGAGTTAGCACGATTTCGAGCCTCAAAACTCAGCTTCTCTCTCGCGCAAACGTTTGATATGAAGCAGCTGCATTGCTTGCATGATGATATTTCTGTGCCAAAGTTTTTAGGTTTTTTCTAGAACTGATCTTGCGGATGTGGAGCTACAAACCAAATAATGGTGTGATTGCAAGAGTAAAACCAGTATTTTTGGTGAAATAACGTCTGCGTGGCCGAAACAAACGCTCAACGCTGCTGATTTTTTCTAGTCAAATATAAAGTCTTGTAAACTTCTACATACTACATGCTTACTTCATTGCATGGCTTCAGAAGCTGAGTTTTGAGGCTCGAAATTGTGCTAACTCTGTGGTAAGGTTGGAACTTGATTGAGAAACGGCACGAAAACGCAAAGATTTTCCAAACGTCAAACAAAATACCTATTGCAAGAGCTTGTTTCATCTCATAGCTTTGATAGAAGCTAATTGGAGCGCGTAAACCACAGATGAACGGATGTTTTTGGAGCGCAATCACTCCAAAAGCATTTAGCCCCTTTAAAAAAAAGTAACGGTCCTTTTTGAACTGCACTGGGTTTAGTGTATAGCAGAAATGTCAGACTTTGTTACTGTAGCTCTACAAAAAATTTGGACTCAAATGATTGCAATCTTGAAGGAAAAATGGACCTTTGTTTGAGGTGTTCGTATAATTATGAACCGCTAAAGATTCGCATTAGCCGCCAAAACACTCCTACAGTTGACATCGATTTCCATTTATATGGATCATATACCGTTTTCGGCTGTGTTCTATCGCGTGGTACCAACGGCTTTTTGAGTTTCTCCCTAATAGTCCAAAAACTTACAAAATTTTGGGTGTTCGTATAATTATGAACCGCTAAAGATTCGCATTAGCCGCCAAAACACTCCTACAGTTGACATCGATTTCCATTTATATGGATCATATACCGTTTTCGGCTGTGTTCTATCGCGTGGTACCAACGGCTTTTTGAGTTTCTCCCAAATAGTCCAAAAACTTACAAAATTTTGGGTGTTCGTATAATTATGAACCGCACTTTATTAGGTCGTCCCGAAAGTACTTGCGCACGATTTTCAAAAATTCATAACTCTTTAAACTCTCAACGGATTTGTACGATCAAAATTTTGTATAAGAGAGGAACTCATGCTCTTTGCATATGTATCTGAATTGTTCGATAATATTCACAGATGACGGAGATGGAAGCTCAAGACTAAAATCACTCAAAATTTGAATTTTTCGTGTAGGGTCATAAAAAATCGGAAACTTGCAACGAAAATCAGAGCAGTCAGTATTGTAAGTTCTTTCACCAGCTCTTTCTAACAGTTCAAAGTTTGCGCCGATTGAGCGTCTCTATGAAAAGTTATGATTTTGGAGCAAGCAATGCAAAAGGGCGAATTTGATTTATTTTGGCATTTTTCAGGGAATTCATAACTTTTTACAGAGACGCTCAATCGGCGCAAACTTTGCACTGTTAAAAAGAGGTGGTGAAAGAACCTATAATACTGGCTGCTCGGATTTTTGTGGCAAGTTTACGATTTTTTATGACCCTACACGAAAAATTCATTTGAGTGATTTTGGTTTTGAGCTTCTATCTCCTTCATTTGTAAACATTAACGGAATGTTCAAGCACATGTGCAAAAAGCATGAGTTCCTCTCTTATACAAAATTTCGATCATACAAATCCGTTGAAAATTTAATGAGTTATGAATTTTTGAAAATCGTGCGCAAGAACTTTCGGGACGACCTAATATTAGGTTGTTCCGAATGTAATGTCGCTTTTTTTAAACGTACGTCACTTCTCGAGGAGCAAAGATATGTAAAAGATTCTGGTAGCATTTGATGCAGCATTTCATTCTCTTTCTAATGGTTATATAATCTCTGCACAATATTCAATATCCCCTCGAAAAATTATCAAAACCGGCGACCCATGCTTTTTGAGAGGGCGAAGTTTCACAATTTTTCTAAATTTTTACAACAACCCTCGGAAGGGTCCAAGTAATGGATGGATAGAGCAAACCCTACAGAAAACAGCACAACTTTTTTCTACTTTCCAGAGCTCGTCATAATTTTTGTATAGATTTTTTGATGGAACCACCGAATTTTAGCAGGCCTGCCTCAGACACAAATGCAACAAACACCAATAAATCTTCGGATTTTGAACTTACAAAGATGGATTATGGTTTGACACTAATTTTACAAAGCAAATGAGCGTTTACCGCTTCAGCTTAGCAACTTTCGAAAACTTTGGGTACAGCCTGGGGCGCCCTGGAAAACCTGAATTATGGTGATTTCCCGGAAAACTTGATGAATCGGAAACAAAAAACAACGGCTAGAAAGAGGAGAAAAAGCTGCGTCGAATGACACCCGAGTTGCTTACCGGTTGTTGCTCTGTGAGGTTTGAGTTGACCAAATATGGGATTTAATAGCATTGAAAAATTGATGCCAGAAACTCTAAAGAGCAAGCTAAGAAAAAGAAAAAATTA